GTAAAAAAGTCTATCATCTCTACTAATATAGGAGAAGGTAGGAACATGACCAGCCTTCTTCAACAGTGGTAAATTCTGAATAAATTAATAAATGAAGCCAGGTGCTTGCAAACTAATTTGGACAAAAATTGTATAACACTTTTATTACTATTTTTATTTCTACATTACTATTAATGCCCACTAGTGTTTTAATGTCTTTTCTTATCAAACAAGACTTCATTTTGTAATAGTTGTTTGTAAATTATATGAATAAATATTTATAAAAAACAAAAAACAGGGACCAGGGATTTAGCTCACTGCGCCTGCCTCAGAAGTGCAAGGTCCTAAGTTTGATCCCTGGTATGGGAAAAAGAAAAATCAAAAACCAAAAAACAAAAAAACAAAAAAAATGGGCTAACAAATATATCTGAAAATGAGCAACCCTAGTAGCATTGAATAAGTCAATAAGCAGTATTCAATTTTTCTTATTTATTGAAATATATTCATTTATTATATTTATTTATTATAGAAATATATTTATTCATTATATTTATTGAAATCGAGAGATATTCATATTGTTAAAATTAGAAAGCAATCAACAATAAAATATGAAAGTACAGAAAAATGTTAATAAAGCAGTTGTAATTGCTAGTCTTTGAAAGACTTGCTTACAATTTCACTCTTAGCTGATAAATCTGGGAATTTCGATTTCAAGAGGGTCCCCACTAACAGACACGTGTGGTTCACTGTACATAAACTGCAAAAAATATGGTTTATGCCAAAACCTTGCCCTTCTTCTAAGCATATAGAATTTGGGTCTGTGTTATGTAAAGAGTGCCTGTATTATCAAACACAGTAAGAACCGCAGTCCCTTCTGATCTTTATGAACTTCCTTGGTTGGCAACATTTCAAATGTGCTCTCATATCTCACTACAAAGAGAATTAAGCTTAACCTACATCCTATACATCCTATAACTCTGCTAGCAGAGAACTCTTGAAAGCTTTCAGATGGTGGTTCCCATGGACTTGGCCCCATGTACCTTACTCCTCTGCTGATTTAGCTTTAATTTATTCACTGTTGGAAATCATTTTCTTGAGTACTTTAAGTCTGCTGAGCACTCATGAGTCATCAAACCTGGAGGTAGTCTTGGTAAAACTTGACACAGAAACTATAATGTATTTTTGATACATAAATAAAAATTATGAAGAAACAAAAAAAGTATTAACATATAAATAGTAAATTGCAAATATTTTTCTTAAATTTACTCATCACTCTTGCTACTGTCTATAATGAGCTTGTATTATTTTGAATTTGAAAATAATATAGTTATTTAAGTGTTTATTTCTTGTAACTGAAATTACAACTAAAATCTTAGAACAAATATAATGTTTACAAAAGTAATGGTATAATTTGATGGTCAATGCTAAACATATAGAAAGAAAATGTTGACTTACTTTATTGTGACAAACACAAAAATATTGATTCCTTTGCTGCTTCAAAATATTTTATTATTTCTAAGAAATTTAAAATTATCCTATTGTTATTTTGCTTCTTGATATCAATGCAAGAAAATCAATTTTAAAGCAAGAGGCAATCTGTCTTTATATTTGACATTTTAGATTTTCAATATACTGCTAACATTTCAATAGTTTTGTAATTTTAGTTGCTCTATGGAAGTAATGTTTTCAGCAAGAGTAATTTATTTTCAGATCTATGTTATTATTTATTTAACTCATTGTTACCAGCATTTATTTAGGGAAAATAATTTGAGGAAAATCTTAAGGAAAAATAAATAAATGGATACACAACTGAACAAATTTGAAAATATTGGTTAATTTGTAATGATAAAAAAACTGGAAAGGAAGCTGTTAGATAAATTATATGAATAAAGATTTAAAACACTGCTAAATTTATTTACAACAAGCTTTTAATTTACATAGATATTAATTTCTAAATCATTTCACCTAACATTAAAATGGAAGATTTTCCACTGCAGTTGGAAAGATTGCAATAGTAAAATTTAAATTTTTGTTCTTTGGACAAAGGTTCCTAAATTGTATATCTTTTATTTATAATACACATTATATCATAAATAAGGAATCTCAAAATTTATGTTTGGATTCAATTTAATTTGGTTATTAGTACAAATAAGAAAAGGTGTTAATGAGTATATTCAAAGATATGAAAAAGTATAATCCTTAAAACTTTAAGAAACTAAATATTGTAAGTTAAAAGTATTTATATTTCTTGGTAAAATGATTGATGATTTTTTTATGTCATAAGACAGAAACTTAAAAAAGAAAAAACATTCCAGTTAAACATATATACTTTATAATTAAAAAAATAAAATCTGACCTATTTATCCTTTAACTAGAGGACTACACTAGCTTTCAAATGTATGTAATGAACTACATCACATTTTAATAAACAAATTTTCATATGTTAAATAATACTTAAGGCAAAGCAAGAAAGTTTTCATTTTTATTGCTAGTTATCTGGGGCTAATAAATTTTGTTTTGTTTTGTTTTGTTTTGTTTTTGATTGGGCAAATGGAGGAGAACTATGGAGATTTTTGTTTTATGTTTAAAGCTGCCATTAAAGCTGCCTCTTCACTTAATAGAAATTTTTAGGGGCACTGTATTGTTAAAGTCTCTGGTGAAATCACATACTTTTTGATGTTTGACTGCTTATTTGGTTTGACTGTCACTGTGGGAACAATTTAGATTGCTTGAAGAATGTGCCCAAAATAATGGGAATAATTGACAGTTGAGCAAGATTAAAATCACATAAAAGTAATACAAAGGTGAAATGTATGTTTTATAGCTTTAGGCTTTTCTTCCTTTTTATTTTTTATTTTTAACCTTTTGAACATTCGTGCAATGAATTCTCATTTAGTCTTTAATTAGTTGGATTGCCATTTTACCTGAGCATGCCACAAAATAAAGAGAAAAAAGTAAGATCTTTAAAAAATATTTATACCTATATCGCTGTGGTGTGATTCTTTTAATTCTTTGGGGAAGATACCCAGTAGGGGAATAGCTGGGTCAAATGGGACCTCTAGTCCTAGTTCTTTGAGGTATCTCCATACAAATTTCCATAGTGGTTGCACCAGTCTGCACTCCCACCAACAATGGAGAAGGGTTCCTTTCTCTCCACACCCCAGCCAGCATTTGTTATTGGTTGATTTCTTGATAGCAGCCATTCCTTGTGGGGTGAGGTAGAATCTCAGTGTTGTTTTCATCTGCATCTCTCAAATGACCAGTGATGTTGAAATTTTTTCATATATTTATTTGCTGTTTTTACTCCTTTGTCTGAGAAATGTCTGTTCATTTTGGTTGCCCATTTTCAAATTGGGTCTTTGAATTTGGGGGGTCTGATTTTTTTCAATTCTTTGTATATTCTAGATAGTAGACCTTTGTCTGAGTTACAGCTGCTCAAAATTTCTTCCCATATTGTAGGTTGTCTCTTAGCCCTGTTGGTAGTTTCTTTTGCAGTGCAGAAGCTTTTTAATAAGATGATATCCCAGTTTTTGATTCTTTGTGTTAGCTCCCATTCTACTGAAGTTTTATTCATAAAGTCTTTTCCTATGCCAATGTCACTGAGAGTTCTACCTAACTTATTTTCCAGAAAGTTTAGTGTTTCTGTCTTGATATTTAGATCTTTAATTCACTTCAATCTTAGTTTAGTGCACAGTGATAGGTATGGGTCTAGTTTTAATCTTTGGCAATTGAAATACAGTTTTTCCAACACCATTTATTGAACAGGCTATCTTTTCTCCAATGAGGGCGATTGGCTCCTTTGTCAAAGATGAGGTGCCTGAGTATGTCTGGAGTTGTCTTTGAATCTTCTAACCTATTCCACTGATCTTTGGGTCTGTTTCTTTGCCAGTAGCATGCTGTTTTTATCACAGTAGCTTTGTAGTATAGTTTCAAGTTGGGGCTTGTGATACCCCCAGCCATGTCTCTGTACACCCATGTTTACAGTGGCACAGTTTGTAATAGCTAAGGTTTAGAAACAGCCCAAGTGTCCAGCAACTGGAAACTGGATAAAGAAGATGTGGTTTTTTATAAAATGGAGTACTACTCAGCCATAAAGAACAAGAAACTAGAGTCATTTATAGCTAAATGGATGCATATTGAGGCCATACTCGTAAGTGAAATAAATAGGACACACGTGTAAATACCAAATAGTATCTCTAGTGTGAGAAACTGAAAGTGTAAATAAGGATGAAAATGATTAAAATGAATAATTGATAATTTGAAATAGGGAAAGGTCCAAAGGTGGAGGGGTGGTGGGAGGGGAAGGGGAAAGGGAAGAAAGGAAAGGAAAAATTATGTTAAAGAAGAAAAAAAAGGAAACAAAGTCTATGTAAACAGGGAAGGGTGGTGGGGGTGAAGAGCGCACAGGTAATGGGGAAAAAATAAGAATACATCATATTCAGGTACAAACACCCAATGATAAGTGTAAATGTATTGTATACCTAAAATGTAACAATTAATATATAAATAAAAAATATATATATTTATACCTCCTCATCCTTGTTTTAATATCTTTATTCTAATATTAGCTTATTAAATTGATCCTTGTCATATGTATGATTCAAAAAGTAAATTTATTTTTCATCATCTTCATATTTCCATTGGTAACTAGGAATTTCACAATCCTGGATTTTAGAATTGTTATATAATAATGTCTCATAATCAAGAAGAATCCACATATTTTTATCATTTCTATAGAATTTCAACCTTTAATATTCTACCCTAAAAATGCCAAGGAAGAATCAGAGTTAAGCACAGGACAATAGTATTTCCCACATTTCGTATCAAAGGTGTGATCACATGGCATCTACAGAGTTAGAAGGATAGCCAGAATTAAGTTCTAGATAATCTAATAGAATGCTTCTTTCCCCTGGTCTTATATTCTATTTTTTTTCCTTTGGAAGTCTTGTAGGAATAATAAATAGCTAATTGAGAGTATGTAGATGTTTTTCCTGAGCCAGTTTAATACATCAGTCTCTCACCTCTGCTTTTCTTTCTCTCCAATTGTCCATCAGTGATCCCGCCCTGCAAGAGGGCTACATGTTCTGAGCTGGTTGAATGTCCAGGATGACAGACTGTGTGATTGGAAATAGTCACATTCCCAAGATGTTCTTCGATTTCCATGCTGTCCTTGGGATGATCCAAAGTAAATACAGACATTTCTAAAAATCTAAAAGTCAACATGATATCCAAATAGTGCATCTTGAAAGGCAGAGTAATCGTTACTTTACAACTCACAATTTTGTAGAACTGCTCTGCACCAATTTCAAAGAAATTTAATGATAGGCCTGATGATTAACATGTGTTTCTTTAGATTAATGTATTTTAAAATTCTTAAAGACAGCACAGATTTTACAAAGAATATATAAGGCATCTATCTGTAATACAAGTAAGGTGTGCCACTCTGAACTGACAAGATGCCTGCCATCCCCTGCCAAGCTCCACCTCTTGATCAAACGTTGGTCAGAACATCCAAGTTCATTCTGGCATCATCCAGTTTTAGCAGGAATCTTGTCAATTAAATTCAGCCAGAATCTTCACCCTCATATCTGAGACACTGATATATAACCAAATTGCTAATGTTGCATTATCCCCTAAGTGATACTGCTTATCATGCCCTGATTTCTGCATGAGTTCTCTTGGGCCAGTTTTGCAAGTATTTTCCTTTGCCCTTTAAATTTTTTCTTATTAATTTTTCATCCAAGGACTCCTCATAGGATCCTTGGCTATAAGTCCTTATTCAACAATTTTGTATTCAGAATTGAGACCAGTCTATATTGAGTCTCTTTTCTCCCATTAAAATAGAACTTGATAAATCTTCTTTTACCACTTTAGCTCTAGTTTTCTTTGACAGAATAAAAGCACACTACTCATACGAAATTTTAGTTTGTTTCTAAACTTATTTTTTGAGAGACTGGACTTTCCAAACATTTGTCAAAACTCCTGTTTGAGCTTCCAATTCAGATCATAGCATCAAAGTTTGATGTCTTTCAGAAATTAAAAAAGTATATGCTGGGCGTGGTGGATCCCAGCACTCAGGAGGCTGAGACAGGAGGATCGCCAGAGTTCGAGATCAGGCTGGGCTACATGGTGAGTTCAGAGCTAGCCTGAAAAAACCAAAAGAAAAAAAAAGAAATGAAAAAAGTATAAAGAAAAATTCTGAATAAGCTGAACCATTTCATTTTAAAAAATAAGTGACCAGAGAAATCTGGTACATGTATTGAGGATTCAGAAAAAAAACTCTGCAACTACACACTTTCAATGACAATATAACCATATATATTTTTGATTGAACTTAGAAAATTATTTGCTTTCAAAATATTAATTAAAATAATAACAGTTTGTAATTACAAAGTAAGAAAATCAAGAAAATTAAATTTAAAAAGACTCAAGAGACTTAAAAGTCTCCTTTTTTACATACCAGCCAAAATCGTAGAAGTTGTCCTTGTCTCCTCTCTTTATATCATATGCCTAATTAATTCCTGAGTCTCTCTTTTGAATCTCTCCGGAATTCATGCACATTTTTCACTCCTAGTAGTAGTCCTCACCTAGACTCCAAAGTATCTTACCTATTTTATAGCACACAGATTTTTCTCTTTGATTCCAAATTTCTCACCTTGTAGTTTTCTTCCCATACCACAAGTACCTAATATCTTGAAATATATATACATCATATATATAAATACACATATGCAAATTTTTGTCTGTTTAGAATGTTACTGCAATAGTAATTGAAAAAGTTATTGGATGAACATTAGGTTTGCAACTTTTATTGTGTCTACCAAAGAACTGAGATCATGAAACAACTGACTCTTCTAAGCCTCCAAGAGGGATAGAAGAATGTAAGGAAAACGGGAAAATAAGTAAAGCCCATATACAAGAGGGTGAGATGAAATCAAAGAATTTTGTAGAGACCAAATAAAGGTTTATTGTTAGTCTAGAATACTCTGAATGTCCAGACATAAAAGAAGTTCAAATACTTGTAAAATCATTTCCTTAGGGCTTGCATTTGATACTCATAGGAAGAATTAGATGCAAAAACAAAGTCCAGAGAGACCTTTGTTTAGTGATTAGGCATTTAGGAGACCAGTAGGCAAGCATAGTATGGTTGGTGCTAAGAAGTACTATGTACTTCCATAGACCAATATTTTCCATGTAGTGCTAATTATACTTCGAGAAGAGAGATACCGAACTTATTTTCCTCTAAATAATTGATTTTCTAATCATGTTAGTTTTTCGTTTCTTTGTTTGTTTGTTTTTTCTTGTATGTCCTATGCTTCTCTTACTTTATGGCTTCTACATAGAGTGTTTCCTCAGCCTAGGAGCTTCCTACCCACTTTTGAATAATTGGCTTACTAATCACTCAAATGGATACTTAATTTTGATGCCAATTGCCATTTAGTGTATTGATTGCTACCTCAAAACTTAATTGTGTGCCTTGGATAATTCATTGATCATATTACTTTATAGATTTTTTTTGCAATTGCTCTTATTATATGTTTTCTAGACTGTAAGATTCCTAAGTACAGAGACATCTCCTAGCTTGCATAAATTTATGTGCCCAGTGCCTTGCACAGAAAAACTAAGAACAGTTGATGAATAAAAACTCAACACATTTTTTGGAAAGATTGCACATATATGGTTTAATCTAAGATATTTTGTATTCCTGCTGAACCTATGTGCCTTAATAATTTTTACTTTTGGCATCATTTCAGGGCTTTACTCATTATTAATATATACCCTTTATAATGAGTACATTCTTTAATAAAGCAATAAATTTCTTTATTTTAAGTAAACAAACTAATGATCACTCCTTTTCAGTGTAATTGCTACCTATATATCACACAAACATAAAATATGTTAGCTGGAATCCAGGCAGGTTATGTTCTTAGATACTTTCCTCATTGCTGTGACAAATATCTGACACCCACAAGTTAAAGGAGGAAAGGTTTATTTCAGCTCACAATTTCTAGAGGCTTCAGTCCATAGTCTGCTGGGTCCAAGCCAAGGTAGCATGGCAGAGGTATATTACAGAGGAGAAGCAGTCCATGGCAGAGCAGGCAGGAGAAAGCAAGCAGCAAGCCATAAGCCTGCTCTCTCTCTCTCTCTGTCCCTTTATATTCCATTCGTGCTATAAGCCTATTGATTGGTGCCACCCACACTCTGGGTGGGGGCTTCCACTATGCACACCCAGAACTATGCTAAACCAATTTAGTTGTCATACACCCTTAATCCCAGTTCACACACCATAGATCCAGCTACTTCCAAAAAGTCCTACTTATGAGCACATGAGGCTTTGAGGGAACATCTAGATACCATACTGATCTTTCCTCACAATTTGTGACCCCTTTCCCAGCCATCTTCCTGGAATGCTTTTCACAGAGACCTTTGGAACTATAGTAGAGACAAATTCTCTTTCTCCTCAACTGCTCTAGAAGATATTTCCTAAATCTTCCTGCCTTAACTGAAACTTGAAATTCCCTGATGACTTTAAATCCTTGGTGGCCTTCTCTGGTGATTGTTTTGTCTTACAAAAAGCTGGGCATGGATATAGCATAGCTTCCCTTTGCTTATTCTGGCCAGCTTCTAGATCCTTCTAGATCCTTTTTAATCCTCCTACTCTGACTTTGAATTTTATGTCACTACTATCCCCATCTAACTTCATTGTAGTCAATTAACAATTTTGTTTTTTTCTCCTCATTTGTTAATTATTGAATTCCTTTCTGTAAAACATATTCTGTAATAATTTCAATAGGCAGAATTATAGCCATCAAAAAGACCCCACATGCATACCCCTGCACTGTATGCTTCCTTATACGTCAATCAGACTGTTGGCTTCAGGGAATAAGAGAGAAGAAAATTTGCCAAGTAATTAAAGTAGTTAACAATTAATTTTAAGAATAAGACAAGAAAATCATCCTGGATAAGCCAAATGGGTCCAATAAAATCACTGAGGAAAAAAAAAATCACTTGAGGTTTGAAAAGCAGAAAAGGATGGCAAAGAGGAAGCCAGAGAGATTGAGGCATGAAAGACATTCAATAGTTTCTGCCAATTTTTCCTGGCATCTATGATGAAGGAGTCCATGTGCAATGACCAGAACCAGGAAAACCTATCAGCTGAATACAGAGAAAGGAAATGGGATTTAGTCCCTGTGTGAGCACATTAAATCTGCCAACAGCATGAAGGACTATAGAAGTGGATTCTTCCTTAGGACCTCCAGCCAAAAGCCCATCCTCAAAACTTTGATTTAGGCTTCATGAGATCCTGAAAGAAAATTTAGTCATGCCTTTCCAAAATGCTAATTTACAAAATTGTTAAACAAAAAGTGCATACTGATTTTAGCCACAAATATTTGTAGTGCTGGTAGTGTAGTGTAGTGTATTAGATAAAACTAATACAGAGTTCCTGACAATTTCAGTATACACAAATTACTCTCCCAGCATGCTAATCTCCAGATTTTGATCTTCTCCAGTTTACTTGACTTTCACTTTACCCTAGGCATTCATTCTCATGGTTACACACTTGACATTATCATCACCAATCACCAATCATCAACAATTAATTTTATAAATTCAACTTAATCTCACTCTCTGAATTTGGCCTCCTATTTTACAAACTTAATCATTAAGATACCTTTCCTATCACAATCCTAAGAGTATATGTAGCCAACAATCTACTGATATCACTAAGCTCCTTCCAGTGTACGTCTTTATATATTGAATTTCTTCATAAAGTTTGAAGTTACTTGATGAAGCATTTTAATCTATTCTTGAAAGATATCTTTTACAAATTGTAACTATTAGCATACATTAATTATACAAATTATTGGAATTCATTGTAATATTTCTATGCATGCATACATTGTGTATTTACCATGTCCATCTAAACTCATTACCTTTTCTAGTCCCTAGTAAGGTCTCTGTTACTTTTAGGTCATATTTTTTCACATAAAAAGAATATGTGATAATAGATTTTGTGTGTCTGATTTATTTCACTTAATATGATATCCTCCAGTTCCATCTATTTTCCTGAAAGTGGTAAGATTTCTTCTTTATGGCTTTCATATGTTAGTTATGAATACTGTCAAAATATACATGGGTATGCAAATATCTCTTTTGTATGTTGATTTTATTTC